TTATCACACTAGAACAGATCCGTGGTCCTTTTTATAGAAATGTTCTTCAATTGTTCGTTCTTTTTCTTGATAAATAAAGTTTTGATACAAAATCAAAGTTGCTTGTTGAAGACTTGTTGCTGCTGCAGACTGAGGAGAGCAGAGATGTTAACCAATCATTGTTCATCACCTGGATCAGTGCTAACCTGCGTCTCCAGGTCAGGAATCAAAGCTGGAAGGTTTGTTCTGAGATCTGAATATTTGGTAAATTTTAATGAAGGATTTGTTGATCATTTAGTTTTTAATAACCGATATTATCGTCACAACCTCAGAACCTTGGAGCCAAATATTTAGGCAGAAAGATCAGAACAAATTTTAAACTGAGCGGCTGGTCGTAAGCGGGATTCTGCAGGAATAGAAAACTCAGACTAGAATGTCTAGCTGATCAAGACTAGGAGCAAAAAGTCGCTGACTTGGTTCAGAGTTCAGTCCGATTTCAGAGGAAGGAGAGGAATCTGGGGGGGGATCAGCCGCCGCTTATGGCCGTAGCTGCATTCAGAGCTCAGGGGGATGACGAGCTGATCCCAGCCGAGGCCAAGGAGGCACCAGAGTCTGTGAGGGAACATCTAGAGGCGAGGTGGAATCAGAACCAGGTTTACAGACCAGAAGGTCAGAGAGCTGAAGAGGAACCGAAGGAGAATCCAAGCTGAGGTCAGTAACACAGTCCAAGTTCAGATAACCAGCAGGATCCAGGAAATCAGGCCAAAAACTAAACAGAGAGCAGAACAAGGGCAAGGCTAAACCTCACATATCCAGAGGCAGAAACAGGTCAGAATCACAGAAATATTTAGAGTAACTCTCAGCAACCAGCGGAAATAATCTGGCTCTGATGGAAGGCAGACAGGCAGGGTCAGGTGGAAACGATGAGCGTTAACGAGCCGCCGGGCCAATTAGACAGGTGAACAGGAGTAAATGAAACTACCAACCATCAGCGCCAAGAGCATGTTAAACATTTATTTAACTTTTAATTACCTTCCAAAAACCCTCTACAGGTTTATTTCCATTATTCTGAAGCGGTTCAGATCATTTCCTGTTGATTTATTGTGTTTTTTCTTTCTAATGAGACATCAGATCAACAGCTGTCCTCATTGTCTCAGCGTTCTACAGCAATGGCGGCACAACAACACCGCCATCCAACCAGTGGATGATACAACCACTGGTCAGCGATGGCGGCGAGGCGCCCCGCAGGCAGGAAGGCAGCCAGCTAACAGCTGCTAACCCGCTAACAGCTGCTAACCCGCTAACAGCTGCTAACCCGCCAGAGACTCTGAAGTCCCGGCCTTAGCGTTAGACTCCTCCTTTATCTCTATAAACCTGAAGGTGACATAAATGTTTGGAAGTCGTTTAAAAGAAGACGACTGACTGTCGGCTCCAACGCTGAATCTCTTTTAGACACGATAAACGTGAACCAGAGACTTTTTCACTACGTCTTCAGGAGGAGAAAGACCGCCGTGCATTCTGCCTTTTGATGATCTAGATGCAGATCTATGTAACTTGCTAACTCACAACAGTAAATTCATGCAAATCATTTTTATTTCTATATTTTCCAAACATGAAAATAATTGAATAAGTAAAGAGTTTGATTGAGATAAAAGCTGATAAAAGGTTCTTAGACGTCTTGGATGATTTAGTGTTTTATCTGCATGGCAGCCATGTTGGACTTTTCCAGCTCCAGACCTTTGAGTCCAGATGTTCTCAGACCACAGAGTTCAATTATTTTATCTGATAAAGTCAAACATCTGCATTGATTTACTGAACGAAACGTTTGCATGAAAGCAGCCGATGTTTTCTGAAGCAGGAGGTCGTCTGAAACCTGCAGGACTGCTGAGTTAACTCACCTGCAGCATCGTTGGGTTCCAGCTGAGCAGGCGATAAACGCAGGAAGCATGGAGACAAACGGCCTCCGATGGAAACAGGACACCCCCCACCCCCAGCAGCAACAAAGCTGGAAATCAGCAGTACTTCAAAGTGGCACCTGAGATTAGTGTTACTCAGGTGGATTCAGCGTCTGACCAAATGAGGAAAATATGGAAACTGTCTGAGTGGAAGAAAGGAAGAGACGCCTGAACGTCCCCTTTTTGTTATGCTGACTCAGAATCCGACCTTCTGGATGGAAAATGTCGCTTTCAATCTGATTATCAGGCTAAATGATGTGAATGGATTCTGAACACTCTGCTAACAAAGAGCAGCAAAGAGCAGCTCATTGTTCCTCAGATTGGATAAAAGGCAGGAGAAGGAGGCCGTCAGCGGCTCTCTCTGCTTCAGTTAAAGATGAATCTGCTGTTCAGAGCAAACAGGAGCGTCTCTGAGCTCTGCAGTGATGTCATACAGCGAGCTGCAGCGTCTCCATCCTGAAATGGGAAAAGAGGCAGAGGAGGAACATTTACTTCCAGTGTTCAGATTCTGAGAAGTCAGCTGCTCTCAGATCTCCAAACACTCCAGGACTTTGGATCTGGAAGCGTCCTGCTGTGAAAAGTACTAAAGGTTGCATCATCTTTGTCACAAAATAGTCTTTAGATTTACTTCCTGCTGAGCGTTGATGTCTGATGGTTATCAGGAAGATCTATCTTTATGTTCTTTATGCAGGAAGGAAAATAATCCTGGAGGGAAACCAGGTGGAGGCTGCAGAGCAGAACCACCTCAGAAACGGCGATACAGTGGATGGTTTATGGGTTAAAAGGGCCTAGTCAAAGTCTAGACCCATATCTACCTGAGAGTCTACAGTTAAGCCTGGTTTAAGCTGCATTTGATCCAGTTGACCATAATATTCTTTTAGAAAGACTTGAATATTTTGTTGGAAATAAAGGAACAGCACTAGACTGGTTTAAATCTTATCTATCTGATCGAATTCAGTTTGTTCATGTTAATGATAGATCTTCAACACGCTCAAAGGTTACCTGTGGAGTACCACAGGGATCAGTGCTAGGACCAATTCTCTTTACTTTATACATGCTCCCAATTGGTAGAATTATTAGACAGCATGGGATTAATTTCCACTGTTATGCTGATGATACCCAGCTATATCTGTCTATAAATCCAGATGAAGCTAACCCATTACATAGATTACAGGCATGTCTGAAGACAGAAAAACCTGGATGACTCTTAACTTTCTGCTTCTGAATGCAGACAAAACAGAAGTTATAGTCTTTGGACCAGAGTCTCTGAAAAAGAAGCTGATTAGTCAGTCACTTCATTTGGATGGGATTAAACTGATTTCAGATAATAAAGTAAAAAATCTTGGTGTTATTTTTGATCAGGACCTGTCATTTAAATCCCACATCAAAGAGGTTTCTAGAATTTCCTTCTTTCATCTGAGGAACATTGCAAAAATTAGAAATCTCCTGTCCAGGGGTGATGCTGAGAAACTAGTCCATGCATTTGTTACTTCAAGGCTGGACTATTGTAATTCTTTACTATCAGGAAGTCCACAAACTGTAGTTAAAAGCCTTCAGCTGATCCAAAATGCTGCAGCCAGAGTTCTGATGAAAATGAAAAAGAGAGATCATATCTCTCCTATCCTGGCTTCTCTTCATTGGCTTCCTGTTAAATCCAGAATAGAATTTAAAATCCTCCTTCTCACATATAAAGCCTTAAATGGCCAAGCTCCATCTGATATCAGAGATCTGATTGTTCCTTATGTTCCTAACAGAGCACTTCGCTCTCAGTCTGCAGGTTTACTAGTGGTTTCACAGTTTGTTTTTTTTCCCTAAAAGGTAAACGGCTAATGAGCTAGCTGGAACTGGTCTGGAAGGAAAGGTTTGTGGGTTAGGGACAGGTATGCTCAGGTAACGGTTAATGTTAGTTATGTACTGGTAATGGTTAAGGTTAGTTATGTACTGGTAATGGTTAAGGTTATTGTCAAGGTCAGGGCATATTAAGGATTAAAAAGTCAACACATGGTCCTCATTACATATAGCTAAACCAGAATGTGTGTACCTCTGACTGGGTCTCATGCTGAGATCTAAACTGGTGCATGTGGCTTCAGTCCAGGCCTTTCCCATTATGCTCTGCGGGGGTCCGTTTATCATCTGGATTCAGGTCAAGCAGCAGGGAGCGGAATGGAAACGCCGGATCCGACAGTCGATGCGGTTCATTGATGTGGTCTGCCAGGAGTTCAGCTCTTCAGTCCATCACATTCTGTCACAGACACAGTTTCACATCATTGCTCAATTTAAAAACTGGGTTATTTCTGTCAGAGCCCCACAGAGGGACGTTCCAGCTTCAGGTATTATGATGCAGCATAAACAACCTCCATCTAACAAATACTGAAACTATCCAACAGATAAACCCCAGAATTTGCTCTACAGAAAAAGTTTCTACAGGCTGAAAAAAAGCAACAGAAATAAATACTTTAGAAGAACATCTCAGGAAGTTCTGATAGATCAGGAGTTAGCAACCCATCTGCTGAAAGAGACAGACTGGACCAGAAAAAATAAACAACAGTCTGTCTGCAGCTGCAAGAATGTGAAAGTCTTCCAGGAGAAATGATTACTGGACGATAAATGAAGACAAAATGCTGGAATATTTTATGGGATCTAAACTAGGAGAATCTGAGTGGTTTGAGAAACATGTGAAAAGTCTGAACTTCTTCCAGTGAATTAAAATGTTAATTAAAGATCTATATTTTTCTTTCTAATAAATACTTTCTAATTGAAGCTCAAGATTAAAAACAATTCCTAGAAACAAAGATTAATTCAGAAAAAGAGTTTTATTGTTTTCATTTCCGTCTGTTTTTCTCTGTTATCTTCAGAGTTTGATCAAATTTATCTCCTGTTATAATGTGAACTAATAAAAATAATTTAACCAAAGCCCAAAAACAAGTATGTCACAGAAATCCCTGATCTTAACGAGCAGCAAGTGTTTGTTTCTGCTTCTAATTAGCAGTTGATGCTGTGCAGCTGAATCAGCTGAGGCTCTATTTAAGCCTCAGGTGCTGCTTTGCTTTCAGTTGAAGCAGCAAACATGCGGCGTCTTCCTGTCCTGCTCCTGTGTTTGGTCGGCTTGGTGTTTAAAGGTGAGAAATAGATTCATGAAAGAAGAAAGTTTTAATCTATTTTAGATGAGTTTTGTTGGACGGTTCTGTTGTTGAGTGTTTAAGCTGATTGTCTGATGCTAGTATGACTGTTTTAACTGTCTAACAGGATCCTGCCTACCAGTGAGTCCAAACATGGGTCCTGATCAGCATGGAGGTAAGCTGCCCTTTAACAGAAACCTGACTTTGTTTGTTCCTGATGCTAACGAGATCTCTGTGCTCTGTAGTGTCTGAAAATGACATTTCTATGAAAAAGGCCATCATGCTTCTCCAGTCACTAGATTCCATGTTGAAGCATAATGCTAGAGAAGGTGAAATAGAACTTTGCTGAAATCGTTAGAGCTAAAAATCCAGAGAATGTTGATCTGACTGAAAATAATTTGTCTCTTAGTGCAACTGGAAACCAATGAAGTAGAAAACGGCTCCCACAACGTGTCAAGCGACGCCGCCGGCTCCCACAACGTGTCAAGCGACGCCGCCGGCTCCCACAACGTGTCAAGCGACGCCGCCGGCTCCCACAACGTGTCAAGCGACGCCGCCGGCTCCCACAACGTGTCAAGCGACGCCGCCGGCTCCCACAACGTGTCAAGCGACGCCGCCGGCTCCCACAACGTGTCAAGCGACGCCGCCGGCTCCCACAACGTGTCAAGCGACGCCGCCGGCTCCCACAACGTGTCAAGCGACGCCGCCGGCTCCCACAACGTGTCAAGCGACGCCGCCGGCTCCCACAACGTGTCAAGCGACGCCGCCGGCTCCCACAACGTGTCAAGCGACGCCGCCGGCTCCCACAACGTGTCAAGCGACGCCGCCGGCTCCCACAACGTGTCAAGCGACGCCGCCGGCTCCCACAACGTGTCAAGCGACGCCGCCGGCTCCCACAACGTGTCAAGCGACGCCGCCGGCTCCCACAACGTGTCAAGCGACGCCGCCGGCTCCCACAACGTGTCAAGCGACGCCGCCGGCTCCCACAACGTGTCAAGCGACGCCGCCGGCTCCCACAACGTGTCAAGCGACGCCGCCGGCTCCCACAACGTGTCAAGCGACGCCGCCGGCTCCCACAACGTGTCAAGCGACGCCGCCGGCTCCCACAACGTGTCAAGCGACGCCGCCGGCTCCCACAACGTGTCAAGCGACGCCGCCGGCTCCCACAACGTGTCAAGCGACGCCGCCGGCTCCCACAACGTGTCAAGCGACGCCGCCGGCTCCCACAACGTGTCAAGCGACGCCGCCGGCTCCCACAACGTGTCAAGCGACGCCGCCGGCTCCCACAACGTGTCAAGCGACGCCGCCGGCTCCCACAACGTGTCAAGCGACGCCGCCGGCTCCCACAACGTGTCAAGCGACGCCGCCGGCTCCCACAACGTGTCAAGCGACGCCGCCGGCTCCCACAACGTGTCAAGCGACGCCGCCGGCTCCCACAACGTGTCAAGCGACGCCGCCGGCTCCCACAACGTGTCAAGCGACGCCGCCGGCTCCCACAACGTGTCAAGCGACGCCGCCGGCTCCCACAACGTGTCAAGCGACGCCGCCGGCTCCCACAACGTGTCAAGCGACGCCGCCGGCTCCCACAACGTGTCAAGCGACGCCGCCGGCTCCCACAACGTGTCAAGCGACGCCGCCGGCTCCCACAACGTGTCAAGCGACGCCGCCGGCTCCCACAACGTGTCAAGCGACGCCGCCGGCTCCCACAACGTGTCAAGCGACGCCGCCGGCTCCCACAACGTGTCAAGCGACGCCGCCGGCTCCCACAACGTGTCAAGCGACGCCGCCGGCTCCCACAACGTGTCAAGCGACGCCGCCGGCTCCCACAACGTGTCAAGCGACGCCGCCGGCTCCCACAACGTGTCAAGCGACGCCGCCGGCTCCCACAACGTGTCAAGCGACGCCGCCGGCTCCCACAACGTGTCAAGCGACGCCGCCGGCTCCCACAACGTGTCAAGCGACGCCGCCGGCTCCCACAACGTGTCAAGCGACGCCGCCGGCTCCCACAACGTGTCAAGCGACGCCGCCGGCTCCCACAACGTGTCAAGCGACGCCGCCGGCTCCCACAACGTGTCAAGCGACGCCGCCGGCTCCCACAACGTGTCAAGCGACGCCGCCGGCTCCCACAACGTGTCAAGCGACGCCGCCGGCTCCCACAACGTGTCAAGCGACGCCGCCGGCTCCCACAACGTGTCAAGCGACGCCGCCGGCTCCCACAACGTGTCAAGCGACGCCGCCGGCTCCCACAACGTGTCAAGCGACGCCGCCGGCTCCCACAACGTGTCAAGCGACGCCGCCGGCTCCCACAACGTGTCAAGCGACGCCGCCGGCTCCCACAACGTGTCAAGCGACGCCGCCGGCTCCCACAACGTGTCAAGCGACGCCGCCGGCTCCCACAACGTGTCAAGCGACGCCGCCGGCTCCCACAACGTGTCAAGCGACGCCGCCGGCTCCCACAACGTGTCAAGCGACGCCGCCGGCTCCCACAACGTGTCAAGCGACGCCGCCGGCTCCCACAACGTGTCAAGCGACGCCGCCGGCTCCCACAACGTGTCAAGCGACGCCGCCGGCTCCCACAACGTGTCAAGCGACGCCGCCGGCTCCCACAACGTGTCAAGCGACGCCGCCGGCTCCCACAACGTGTCAAGCGACGCCGCCGGCTCCCACAACGTGTCAAGCGACGCCGCCGGCTCCCACAACGTGTCAAGCGACGCCGCCGGCTCCCACAACGTGTCAAGCGACGCCGCCGGCTCCCACAACGTGTCAAGCGACGCCGCCGGCTCCCACAACGTGTCAAGCGACGCCGCCGGCTCCCACAACGTGTCAAGCGACGCCGCCGGCTCCCACAACGTGTCAAGCGACGCCGCCGGCTCCCACAACGTGTCAAGCGACGCCGCCGGCTCCCACAACGTGTCAAGCGACGCCGCCGGCTCCCACAACGTGTCAAGCGACGCCGCCGGCTCCCACAACGTGTCAAGCGACGCCGCCGGCTCCCACAACGTGTCAAGCGACGCCGCCGGCTCCCACAACGTGTCAAGCGACGCCGCCGGCTCCCACAACGTGTCAAGCGACGCCGCCGGCTCCCACAACGTGTCAAGCGACGCCGCCGGCTCCCACAACGTGTCAAGCGACGCCGCCGGCTCCCACAACGTGTCAAGCGACGCCGCCGGCTCCCACAACGTGTCAAGCGACGCCGCCGGCTCCCACAACGTGTCAAGCGACGCCGCCGGCTCCCACAACGTGTCAAGCGACGCCGCCGGCTCCCACAACGTGTCAAGCGACGCCGCCGGCTCCCACAACGTGTCAAGCGACGCCGCCGGCTCCCACAACGTGTCAAGCGACGCCGCCGGCTCCCACAACGTGTCAAGCGACGCCGCCGGCTCCCACAACGTGTCAAGCGACGCCGCCGGCTCCCACAACGTGTCAAGCGACGCCGCCGGCTCCCACAACGTGTCAAGCGACGCCGCCGGCTCCCACAACGTGTCAAGCGACGCCGCCGGCTCCCACAACGTGTCAAGCGACGCCGCCGGCTCCCACAACGTGTCAAGCGACGCCGCCGGCTCCCACAACGTGTCAAGCGACGCCGCCGGCTCCCACAACGTGTCAAGCGACGCCGCCGGCTCCCACAACGTGTCAAGCGACGCCGCCGGCTCCCACAACGTGTCAAGCGACGCCGCCGGCTCCCACAACGTGTCAAGCGACGCCGCCGGCTCCCACAACGTGTCAAGCGACGCCGCCGGCTCCCACAACGTGTCAAGCGACGCCGCCGGCTCCCACAACGTGTCAAGCGACGCCGCCGGCTCCCACAACGTGTCAAGCGACGCCGCCGGCTCCCACAACGTGTCAAGCGACGCCGCCGGCTCCCACAACGTGTCAAGCGACGCCGCCGGCTCCCACAACGTGTCAAGCGACGCCGCCGGCTCCCACAACGTGTCAAGCGACGCCGCCGGCTCCCACAACGTGTCAAGCGACGCCGCCGGCTCCCACAACGTGTCAAGCGACGCCGCCGGCTCCCACAACGTGTCAAAATTGATTTAATTCTCTCACCAAATGGGAACTGGCTTTTCTTTTTAGACCCAGGAGCAGATAATGAACTGCTGGCACTTGGTTTCCAGCTATAGTTGTCCAGAGTGCTGCAGTATTTTTGGTAAACTGTAGGGGGATGCAACATCAGATGCAGGACTTTGCCCTGCAGCTGGAGGGTTGTCTGTCCAAGCCCACCTGCATTGCCTAGTGCTGGTGATCAGAGGGGTAGTGGTGCCAGTGTACGGCAGGCTGGCTTGTTGGTGAACCCCAGGACAGCTGTGGCTACAACCTAGCTCACCACCATCAGTGTAAATGTACTCTAAAGCACTGTGGTCAAGTCCTGACTTGAAAATGCAGTATAAAAGTACAGATCATAACAGTTTGTTCCACCTTCTGCTGTTGCCAACACTGCATGTGATACCAGTTCCATTGTTTTGCGAAGCTACAGACTAACAGCCAAATGCATCTGTGGTCATTGAGTTTATAACAGTCTTACTTTCTGCTACACTGCCTACGTTCCAAACGTTTGTCAGCTGCTTCACTAGAGAAAATAAAACTTGGACTTGTTTTATGCAAATGTCAAGGACCTCTACATATCTGGCAGACCAGGAAGTAGAGTCGTTTAACAGACCTCTCTGCAGATCCAGTGTCTTGCCCACGACCAAAATTGGAAAAGATTCCCAAAGGAGTAAATCATGAAATGAAAATACCAATTTTTACATGAGTTTTCGGAGTTCCTCTCTGATTTGGTTTTAAATATTGGCAAGGTCATCAAAGTGGGGGATTTTAACATCCATGCTGACATTGAAGGTGATTTGGCTTTGTTCAAAATGTGGATAGTCCCACACATTCTCATCTTCATACACTGTCCAGTCATTGAAGCTTACCTGTCTCACAGTGGTTTTTTGAAAATGGCCAAAAGTCGGAACAGAAAAGCATTATGGGATTTGCTGTGGCTACCCAACAGCAGCGACTAAAAAAGATGGCGCGGGCGACGCGCGATGGAGTTACGTGACCAATGGAGTGAAAAGCAGCGATTATCTATCTGAACAGTCTGTTAACTGAGTTCACTATAACGTTCACTATATAGTCCCTCCTCTATGTAGTGATGGAGGGATTTAGGGCGGACGGTTGGTCACAGTAAGCTGGTATGAACTATGAGAACAGCAACTTTTAAACAGAGCATTTAGAAGGAGAAATGGGATCGAGAACGCTCTTGCAAAGAGTGGAGAGGGCGGGTCTTTGAAAAGTCCTCCACAGTACCTTTAATATAAAAAAAGGAATTCTGATGTGTTTGCAGTACTGTATCGATCTCTGATGGGTTGACTTTATTCCAACGTTGTTTTATTCTCTCACACTTGTGACTCCAGAGCACCTAACCTTTATAGACATGAACTTAAAACAGCGGATAT